CCGTCTAATACGTGGCCCAAGTACAGGACTTGTGTCTTGGCCCACTCGCACTTCTTCGCGTTGATCTTGAAGTTAGCCTCTCTAAGCTTCCCCAAGACCTGCCTCAGATGACCCTGATGCTCCTGGAGGGTCTTGCTAAAAACTAAGATGTCATCTAGATAAACTACTACGAACTTATCTAACCACGGTCTGAACAAGTCATTCATACAACGTTGGAAGGTAGCTGGCGCGTTGGTTAGTCCAAAGGGCATCGCTATGAACTCATAGTGCCCGTATCTAGTCCGGAACGCAGTCTTGTACAGATCATCAGGATGAACCTCTATCTGATGGTATCCAGACTTTAAGTCTATCTTAGAGAAATACTTACAACCCTGCACCCGATCTAGAAGATCGTCTATTCTGGGTAGCGTCTCGGCATTCTTCACTGTGATCGCATTCAACCCTCTATAGTCTATACACATACGAAGTTCTCCTTCCTTCTTGGGGACAAACAAAACCGGTGCTCCAAAAGGAGACAAACTGGGCCTGATGCAACCCTTCTCAAGGAGTCCGTCTAACTGTTTGCGAAGCTCCTCTAACTCTCTAGGGGACATCCTGTAGACTGCACCCTTAGGAGTTCTACTACCAGGCTCTATCTCTATCATGTGCTGGATGGGTTGCGGCACTACTCTTGTCGGCGACTCAGTCAAATCTTTGAACTCTTCCAACAGCTTGGCAATTGTTGGATCTGTGGAACTATCCTTTTCCTGGCCCTCAGTGACAGGTCTAACATACACCACAAAGACCTGTTCCTCTAACTGCTCCTTTCTTACTAATCGCGCGAACGCGGGAGCACTCAGACAGCAATGCGCCAAGGTGTTATCTACACCGGACGCATGGAACAGGCGAGCAGTCTTCACTTCGCCTGACGGACTAGGGAGCCTACACTCATGCTCTCTCAGATGGAGTGTGGCCCCTGCTGCCTCTCCCCAATCCATTCCTAACACTACATCGAAAGGAAGGTCATCTTGTACGAGGAGAGTCAAGGAATGGAGAACTTTCTCCACCTTCCCATCCTTCTCTAGGCAAATACGCCTGGACTCCCTCTACATAGTCCTCAACGCGCATCGTGCGGTTGTCTGCGAGAACACTGACTATAGGGTCTATTAACTTCTGGACCTTTAGTCCTAGCCTCAGCTTCTTCAGCGCCCTACGGCTGATATAACTACGGGTAGCCCCTGAGTCTATAAGGTTCCCTACCCTCCTAAACACCTCAACATCTACTAAAATCAGTTGTCCTTTACTCTCCTTCTTCATTTTGGCCCAGGCTGGCATCCTCTCCTTTAATTTTTATGCCACACCTGTGAGGGACGTGCCTAAAGAGACGCTTACACAGGCGGTCTCTGGACAACTATCTAGGCACGGGCCTGTAACCTCTGCCATAGGCTCATGTGGGTTGGGAGTGTCCTGTTCGCGCGCGCTCACTTCTCCACATGGCCTTGAAGTAGGGGCAGTTGCAACCCCTACTGGCGGCTACCTTTTGACTGTTGAGCAGCCCAACGGGCCTGTCTATACTTTGGACAAAATTTGATAACGTGCGCCGGGTCACCACAGAATACGCACTGACCCATGTTCACGCGTTCCTGCCATAATTGCCGGTCCAAGCCCAAGTCTTCCCAGGGCCTGCCCTGCTGCAAGCCTGGATGCCATCCTCCTTGAGGTGCCCTTCCACCTCCTCGCTGTGGGGACCGGTTACCCTGGCGATTTGACGGGGGACCTTGACCCCTGCCTCCCGCTTGGCGGTTTCCCTGTCCGCCAACCCTCTGTGCGCCCGGTCCTCGGCCTCCCATGGCCTGGCCCCTTTGGCCCTGGCCTCCTCCTCTACCTTGCGGCCTCCCTCCGGCCGCGACAGCAGCGTAAGACCTCCCCTGCCCTACACAACTGTACTCCTCCCCTAGGCCCCACTCAATCTGATCATATGGGACCTCTTCTGTACCACCCTCCTCTAATGTCAGGATCAAGTGATCCTTGGCCTTGACTTGGCCCGAGATGGTACGATCTTTCCACTTCTTCCCCTTCTCCAGGTCCTTATGCTAGAAAGTGGTCACTGGCATAGACTTCGACTCATACAGGACGACTTCTCTACTCAATACATCATAAGTCATGCCGGCCTGCTGAGATTTGTCAAAGAAATGTCCGCGTAGGGCCTCTGGAATGGCACGATAAAACAACTGGACCAGCTGGGGCTCAGTGACCCCGTGGTCCGGGACGGCTACCAAGTCGTCCATGGTACCCTTGAGTGCCTTGGCAC